TTTTTCTGGTGGACTTACCTGTTCAGAGAGTTGTCTTTCTATCTTGGGCTTCCTACTCTTTGCGTATGCCAGTCTTTGAGAGTTCATGAGTACTGTTCAAGTGATAAAGTAGACTATTTCAAACCTGGACCACCTGAGTTAAAGATAGCTGTCTGATGGATGGCCAGGACATACCTGCATCTTTTTGCTTGGGGGTGGCCATTGAAACACAGTAATAAAGACTTGTTTAGACTGTTGTGTATCCTACCCGAATACTGACCAAAAATCCAAACCATTAAAATCTTGGTGGAAGTAGGAATGATGAAATATTTAATGAAAAGAGATTTTTTTATTTTACACTGCATACATAGATGTGGCAGAGTCTAGAAATTGTGTTTGTTGAACGAATGGAACCTAGTCACCAAAACTACTGCACAGGTCAGTATAAGCAGCACAGAAGTGAGGAATTAAGAGATGACTGCAAAAGTGCTATCGTATACAAAATTTTAAGTCACATAAGTATTAAGGTAGTAAGAACATAGGTTCAAAGTTTTTGTTTTTTGTTGGCAGTACTGGGGTGTGATCTCAGAGCTTCACACTTCCTAGGTAGGGGCTCACTTGCTTGGGCACACTTCCAGCCCTTTTTGCTTGGGTTATTTTGCCAATCGGGTCTCACTTTTTACCCAGGCTGGCCAAAGACCACAATCCTCCTATTTTAAGCTTCCCATTGTCCCTGTGATGACAGGTGTGTCACCACACCCACCTTTAAGTGACATCTGTTACTAAAACAACATACACGATGCACAACTATGATTTTGTCACCATTGTATGCAGGCAATAAAATGTTAAGTGTTTACCAAAATGAAAGTTGTCAGCTAGCTTAATAAGCCTCAAGTTTATGTTGCAAATACTAATCCTTGTCTAAACTGGAAGACTTTTCTCTACAATTATATTTTTCACAATCCTCGTGCTATATGATAACTTGGTAGTAAGACCTCCCGAATGCTATCCTAGAGGACGGAGTGTTTTTGGATGACCGTTTGTGCAGGCTTTCAGCTAATGATTTCATTTTGGTCCAAGTATAAACCGTTGGATAGAAGTTGACTATTTGCACAAAATGCTCAGTCACGGCTCCCAATTTTTCCATGACTAACTCCTACCCTGCCAGATGGTTCTTAGGTTCTGCTGAGTCACTTTTTTCCAGAACTCTGTGTTCCCACTAACGCCTAATTCCCTCTGGCCTTTTTTCATACTTTGCCTTTTACCTGAATTTTGGAGGGAAAAATGGTTTCTTTGCTCCTTTTGCCATCCCATATGCATAATAATAGGCTTTGAAATCACTCTCAATTTTCTCTGCCATCACAAATCTTCACCTATCCCTTTCCTGGGGACGCAGACATTGTGAAGAGTTTGTAGTAAGTCATCTATGCTTTGGCGACAAGGGACACTACCAACTGCCATCACAGCAGGTGGCTGAGTCTATACTGAATCACCCTAGAATGCGGTCTTTTAAAAAAATGAAACCAGTCCTCAAACTCCTCATTTGTCTTTTGCTCTCATGCTCCCCCTCCTCCTGAATCCCCTGGGGACAGGAAGGACTTCTGACCACATGGTAGAGAGGGGAGCTGCTGTGGAGGGGAGTCTGTGGGCTCACAGTGGATTTGCATTTTCTGAGCATCACAGAGCACTCCCACCTGGTGGCTGCATGAGTGACCCACAAAGCTTCCATTGCTTCTAAAAGTATTAGGCAGCTCCCATGTGCTAGTAGTTGGGCCAAGGAGCTCAAATGGGGAAGCGTGACCGAGTAAGTGCAGGATGGTGACATTGAATGGGTACAATCGACAAGGAGTTCTATGAAAACACAGAGCAAGGCTGAAATTGTCGCCAGTCACTATGCAGACTCCTCCTCCTCCTCATTTCATCACTGGTTATGCAAAGGGAACCTCCTACATGTCTCCACACACGTTTCAAGGAATAACCAACAGGATATTTCTGCCTAAAAACAATGAGTTCCCCAAACTGCAAGTGTTTTCTATGCCAACTGCAGAACCTTGTGAGTGTGCCTGCACAGTGGGGTCCTGGTTGGGTTACGAGGTGTCTGGTGCAATCTTCTTGCCCACATTGGGAATCTTAGTCAGGCAAGGAAAGCCCCCAGTCAGAAGGTCGGGTCTGCGATGTACAGTTGGCTGGGCAAGTGAGCACTCTCAGTCCGTCCTTATCAGAAATGACGGTGAGTTCCTCTCCAACCCCTACATTTGAGGACATAATCAATCGGAACACCTAATCAGCCCAGCATGATTCTCTGATTATTGTGACATTAGTAACTTCTCAGAGCCTCCGAGGTGTGTGAACGCTTGACTTTACTGAGTAGAGTAAAATAGCTGTGAAAGAGTAGAGGCTAAGTTAAAAGATCAATTTGTTCCTCTGCAGTGACCATCAACAGTGACATTCTCATGTCACACAGCAGCTGATGGAGAAATCTTACGGGAAGAACTTTCCTATGGCACATACGCTGCGGCAAGTTTCCTTCCTCCTCCTACTGGCAACAGTGATGGTTCCTCTCTTCCCTGCCCTGGACCATCTAGTGGATACTCAGTCAATGTTTACCTAGTTCTCCAACTTCTATGCATCTTTGCATCATGCATTTTTCTCATAAAATGGATGGCCTTGACATGGCCTACAGCTCTCCCTGCATGATTTCAGGACACTGACTCCAGGTGGAATCCTCTGTAGAGACAGCAAAGCTTTCTTGGGTCTTACAGAACTGGATTGAAATGTAGCAGTGTCTCTTTAGCTACCTTCAACTCCAGAGGAAAAAAATGGCCTTGCAGGTGGGGCTGAAAGTCTATTAGGGAAAATGAGTCAGCCCAGAGACTGCAAAAAAAAAGAGGATTGCAGGCGTGGTTTTGCACATATAAACTTTGTGGGTTTTAGAGCTGGAGGCGAGCTCAAAAAGGAAACCAGTGCGCCTGGCTTTGGCTTCTAGGAAGGACGGCAAGGGCCAAACTTCGCAGTGCTGTTTCAGCTCAGGCAAAGGGAGAAGATGGAATTTTGCAAACTTTATATTTCATTTAAAACGAACTTTATAAAAGTAAATAAAACAAACTTTATAAGGCTGAGGCTTAGCAAGCAGTCTCTGCGGAAATGTGTGATGTGCACTACAGTGCCAGGCTGACTTCACAGATGCTGGCCTCCCTCTAAAAGCTCGCTAGTCCTGGTCATTAGGCAATGAGGGGATAAACTCAAGGAACGATAAGGAGATCCTTTGACCAGAGGGCACGCACGCCGCCACACAAAAGCATAAATTATCACAACCCCATGCAGGCCAACCTCACAGCCAAGCCCAGAGAGGGAGCCAGAAACTAAGTCAGAAAACCCAAAGGTTACAGTCAGGGGCTGGGGTGCAGCTCAGTGGGAGAGGTGTGCTTCGCTGGTGCGAGGTCCTGAGTTCAATTCCCAGCACCTGGGCAGGAAAAGAAAAGACAGCAGAAGGAAAAAGAATGAAAACGTCGCCTGGAAAGTCCACTTCTATCATTTTGCAATTTCAGTTTTGGTTTCCCTGCGCTTGAATGGAAGTCACTGAGACCCGCAAATGTCTTCCTCAGTGTGAGAACCTTCCTTTCTGGAACCCCAGGGCTGCCGAGGTCACGCAGGGATTCTCCCAGAGGCACAATGCCAGACTTGGGGCTGCCGAACTCGGTCACTCGCGACTGCGAGTTGGGCCGGAGTACCAAGTGACCTTCAGACTCAGGACCGAGGGCCATTTCTAGCCATGGCAGACACAGGCATTTGCACCCCCTAAGCAACATGCCCAGGCCCCTCGAGGCCTGCAGGTCGGGGGTCCTTGCCCCTGTGGGCGGGCGCGGTGGTGAGAGGCTGGAGCCCTGAACCCCACTTTCTACTAAACTTTTTCAAGGCCACCTCCGCCAGCACTGTCCCTGAATGAAAGGGAGCCCCTGTTCGTGCACCCCAATGCGTCCCCTCTCTGTCCCCATAGCCTGCGGTCCACGGGTGGCGGGACGTTGGGGGGCCGGGTCCGCGCGGTACCTGGCCGCGCCTACGCCCGGGGCAGCTGAAGCTCGCGCCTGAATCACGGATGAGTCACCGCGGGGTCGCCGAGCTTCCGAGGCTGGAGGCGGGGTCGGGGAGGGGGACGGGCCGTGGGGGGCGGGGCCTCGGGGAAGGGAATTCGGGAAGGAGACGGGGGCGGGGAATCGGGGGAGGGGACTGGGAGTGGGGTGGGGACTGGTGGATTCTGGGGAGGGGTCTTGCGGGGGCGGGGCCTCGGGGAAAGGGGCCTCGGGGCGGGGCCTTCGGGGAGGGAGGGGACGGGGCGAGGGGCGGGGCGGGGAATTGTGGGCGGGGACTGGGGGCGGGGCAGAGACTGGGGATTCGGGGAGGGGACTTCGGGGAGGGACTCGGAGGGAGGGGACTCGGAGAGGGGACTAGGGGAGGGCACTCGGGGAGAGGGATTGGGGGAGGGGACTCGGGGGAGGGGACTGGGAGAGGACTCGGGGAGAGGGGCCTCGGGGGGTAGGAGTCTCGGGGGAGGGGACTCGGGCAGGGACTCGGGGAAGGGACTTGGGGAGGAGACTCGGGAGAGGGGACTGGAGGAGGGGACTCGGGAAGGAGGAGGGGATTCGGGGCGGGGCGGGGGAGGGAATTGGGGGGCGGGGACTCGGGGGAGGGGACTCCGGACGGGGACTCGGGACGGGGAGGGGACTCGGGACGGGGGCGGGGACTCGGGGGAGGGGACTCGGGGGCCGCCCACCGGAGCTACGGCCGGGACCGCAGAGCTCTGCGCTTATAACGCGCCGGGCCCACGGCCCGTGGACTCCGTGCCCCGAACCCCCAGGGCCGCGCACCTAGAACCCTCCGACCGCCCTGGGCCCCGCAGACTCTGCGCCCCGCACCCCCAGCTCCACAGATCTCCTAGGGCGCCCCGATCTCCGGCCCCTCCGTCCTCCCGCAGCGCAGCGACCCCGTTCCGCGGACCCCCGGCCACGCCGTCCCTCGAGGACATGGACACTGGCCGGCCCCGGCCCCCGCGCCCCGACACCACCGCCGCCCGGACGCTTCTGCTCGGCTGGGTCCTAGCCCAGGTGGCCCGCGCTGCAGGTGAGTGGCTCTCGTCCTCCGAAGCCGGCAACCCCGCGGGACGGAGGGGACAGTCCCGGAGGACAGAGGATGCCCGGCACCCAGGGCTCCCAGGCGTCCCCCGCGCCCTGCCCTGGCCCGGTCCTTGTCGCAAAAGGTGATACTGGCTCCTGCGCTGACTCAGGACACAGCTTCCCACCGAGGTCACCTGGGGGTGGGGGGGGTGCCACCTGGAGAGGAGGAGGGGGCTGGGGAGCGACTGGCCTGAATATTATCTTTCTCTGTGAGGAAAGCTCCCTGTTGGTTCCTGGTAATCTTGGTTTAGATATGCACTGAAGCATGGACTGCTGGATCACTTGCGAATGACAGCGTGCCTGCCCGGTTCCCATTCGGTGTTTGGGGTTAGGTCGAGACAGAAATCAGTACTGGCAAGCAAGGCCTTAATAATAACATATCTGGATCCAATTCGTCCCACCACGTGGGCCACAAGGCCACGTAGAGCATTTTAGATAAAACAGAAAGGTCGAGTTTGATCTTTTTTGTTTGTCTGCATTCCTTCCTGGCTCTTCCCACACCTGTGGGACTTGCCCTTTCCCACCTTTCAAAACCCTGTCTCACTGCTTGCTCCTGGTGAGTTGAGTCTGAGTCCTGCCACACTTGCTAGCTGGGTTCCTGACACCCTGTGACATGAATGGCTCCTGGGCTGTGATTCTAGGTCAAGTTATAACAGGGCTTTCACCATGAATAAGTTCAAACTAGGATTTTAAGATCCTTGCCTATAGCCATGGATGACAGGGTGAATCTTGCCAGGAGGAAATCCTGGGGTAGAAAGTATTTGAAGTTATTTTTTTTTCTCTTGATAATTTAGTAGTGGAGCTTTTGTGGTCCAAAATTCAATGTGTAAAGTTTATAGTGGTGGCGGGCGAAAAGGTGGTGTATTCTTTCCGCCCTGTGTCATGGACCCACGCTCATGTTATAATCTGTTCCTCTCTTGTTCCAAGGCTCTCCAGATAAAGCGTACAATTTAACTTGGAAATCAACTAACTTCAAGACTATTTTGGAGTGGGAACCCAAGTCCATCAATCGTGTCTACACAGTTCAGATAAGGTAAGCTAGGTCCAGGAAAGAGAAAATTAAGGGTCTTGATGTTCCCGTTCTCCTGGGCAGCTTTAACGCTGCTTATTGGATGAGATTATTTGGGAGATGACAAAGAAGAGGGTGTTTGTGGTGACTTACTGTATCCAGTCTGTAACAACATTCTGAACCTTGAGCTGGTAGCATGCCTTCAGTTTTTGGAAATGACAGGAGAGTTCCTAAGTGGAGGGGAGCCCTCTTAAACAGGCACTGACAGGGTACTTCGGGATCAATGACAGTGATGTCATCTTTGCACAGATGTCCTTTCTCCGTTGCTAATCGTCTAGACTGTGAGCTGCGTTAAACATGTCAGGGAGAGGCAGGGAGGAATGCCAGTGTATACATTGCCCTAAGGCTGGGTTTCATTCATTAATCTTTGGATTCTATGAATCAAAATTTGGCTGCATACGTGCTCTTGGCCAATTGCCTGACTCGGTGAGGCTCCCCTGTCTGCACCCTTCTTGGCCCGCTCTGGGCTGCTTGGCTCACTCCAGCCTCAGCCCTGGCAGCTGTTGGGGAGTGGGTTTTTCAGCCTATTCATCTAAATGCCCAGCGTGTGCCATGAGTTTTCCTCGATGGTTTTCACCATATTCTTGGCAAGCTCTGGTTTCTGCAATGTGCTTGGAGGCTTGCTAGTTGTCTTAGGAAACAGAGGGCAGCTCCATGGAAATTTTCTCAACATCAACAATATAAAGGCACAGAAGTGTCACTGGGAAAAATTAAAGGTGTTTTGCCTTGTGGTTTTGTTGTGTTAGCTGCTATTAAGCCTTTTAAGCATTAGGAATGTGCCTCCTAGGTACAGGGTGACCCTTTCAGGTGGACATTCTTGTTTCTCAACACGAACTCTATGACAACTGTTGCCCAACAAACAGGGGCATGAACGTGTGTGTGTGTGTTTGTGCAGATGTGTAGCTATATGTAGATACATAGATGTGTGTGGAGAGAGAGAGAGATAAGGAATTGTGTATCATGAGATGGAGGATACAATTATATCAAACTTGTCTGTAAAGATTCTAGCAGTTGAGAATTAGCAGGAGTTTCTTTGTTGCAGACTGAAGTTTATCTCAGGAAGCTCTTTCCTTCTGGCCGGGGAAAGTAGATTTGGAGGAACTGACTTTCTAAAAATCCTTTGAAAGAGCTACATGTGGAAATTTCTGATTTTCCTGATTTTGAAACTGAAGACTTTTTTAGCAATAACTTCTGGGGCTTTTTTAAGACTGCTCAGCTTTCAATCTGCAAACGTGCACAGTTTTGGGGTGCCCACAGACTCACCTGTGATGTCCCCATATTCTTGTGTCTGAGCTGGAGGGTCTTGGGGGCATTCCTGAGACCCCACTCTGCTCTGATGCTCCTAAGAGGGAGATGGGATTCCCGGCCTAGGAGGCTCCCGGCAATCATTTTCTAGATGAGGAGACTGTTGCTTTGGGAAGTGAGGAATCTACACAGACTGCACCGGTGGTGAGCCCCGGGTCTGGGCTGCGGTCTCCATGTATCCCACATTACTGCATCCTGGCTCTGCCAGCCTGATGGGGGTCCCTGAAGCCGGGGACCCTAAAGCTGCCTCTCCCTCTCTATTTCTCTCTCTCTCTCTGGAGACCCCACCATCACCACCACTGTCCTCACTGCTGAAGCCAGGCTCTGCCAGCACTGGCCAAGGGCAGCCCAAGCCCAGCTCCAGCAGCTGCTTCCCCTTGGTGGTGGGTAGGTGGTAGTGGCTCAGGCCTTAGCACCAGATATCACCTGCAATCCTGATTCCACAGAGGTGTCCCATCCTAAAGCTGAAATTAGAATACTTCCAGAACACAGCCAGCAACTAAATTAGTGACCATCTGCTTTCTGTTGGAAATTTTTTAGTAATTCTCAGATTTGGGGTTTTGTAATACCCAGAGGAACCTGGAAGGCTTTTAGCACTAATGTTTTAATGATGTTCAGAGGCCCTCACCAGAGGACCGCTGCTGCGTAACCTGTTGACACAGGGCGGCAGCCCTTGGGCTTGCTTGTGAGTAGATACTCATCCTCAGCACAGAGCCCAGCTCACGAAAGTCTTGTTTGCACGCTCCTTTTGTTTTTGTGGCGGTACTGGGGTTTGAACTCAGGGCCTCACCTGCCTAGCCTCCATGTGAGCCACTCTGCCAGCCTGAGTTTCCACATGCTTTTCCATATGGAAAGCTGTGATAAGAGTACATGTTGGTTATTCTGGACCAAAATTCCCTCTCTGTGCTTATCACAGAAAAAACTTAAAAGATAAGAAGCTGAAATATTCCAGATCAATCTGTGAATTTGAGAATAAAGAAAGCACTTACCCAGATTCTTTCAAGCTGCTTAGATTTAGACAATGGAATCCGTATGGTGACCGTCCCCCATGATGTACAAAGTCTACTGTAAATGCGGCCACCTTAAGCCTTGACTCCCAGCCATTTGGCAGGGAGCCAGCACAAGGCACAGGACCTGGTACAAGAGAGAGTGCCTCAGTGTCCCTGTGGTGTGGGGACAGACAAGGAAGGGATGAGGGCTGAGCATGGTGAGCAGGAGAAGGTGGGGTTGGACCTGACCACGCTTGACGGGGTCAGACTCGTAGACTGGGACCAAAGGGCAGAGCAGTGACTTCTGCACTTAATGAGAGTTTCGGGTGTGGGGATCTGTTCTGGTCCGTTAGAAGATTTCCATTTTTAGCAGGACATCTTCAACTCCTTTCCTCTCCCGTGATGTCTTACAAAAGACATGTCTGTTTTATTTAGCCTCGTGGCCCCACACTTGGTTAGACAGGTACTACCTGTGTTATCCCGTGATGTCTAGTGAAGTGAGACCTGTTCCCATCTTACATGTGCACCCCCCGGGTGGTGTAACGAGGCAACAGACCCAGCCCTGCTGTAGTTACCTATGTGAGCTTGGAAAGTTACCTGGTGTCTCTAAGACTCTGTGTGCATGTGTGTAAAAGAAACCCAGGACCTTCTTTAGGATAGAATCAAATGAACAACATGTCTGAAGGGCCCAGTAGAGCGCCCGTAAGTGGTTAAAACCACAAGAATACATTGTATAGAGATATTATTTGATAAGCTTGAACACCATTTATTCACACCGAGTGTATGATATGACGAAAAGCATAATGTAGGTGACAGACTGTACCTGACACTGGAAACCTGCCCCCTCTGTGACTGACAGCACAGCACAGACTCAGGACTTGAACATCGTCCGGTTCAGAGTCCGGCTGTGTGATTTGGAGCTTATCGTATTGTCAGTGTGCTTTGACTCAGTTGCCCTGTTTGTAAACTCAGGCCTCTGACTGCCAGGCCTCCGTGATGGATGGTCAGCATAGACCCCAGCCTGCAGCTCTGTGTCTCCTCGGAGGGTCACTCAGGGCGTCCATTCCCTCTCTCCCTCCAGCTCTGGACCAGGAGACTGGAAAAACAAGTGCTTCCTCACGTCAGAGACGGAGTGTGACCTCACCGATGACATCATGCAGGATGTGCACCAAACCTACACGGCCAGGGTCCTGTCCCTCCCGCCAACGAGCCTCCCTTCTGATAATGGCGGGGAGCATCTCTTTACAAACTCCCCAGCTTTCACCCCCTACCTGGACAGTAAGTGACTCCTCGTTCTTGTCCTGGCTTCTGAGTGTACTTGTGCTGAGTGACACCCGGGGCCATTAGATAAAATGCGTGTGCTACCCTGGGGTCTGTTGAGGGGATACAGAGAATCCCTGCCAAGTAGGAAACTCAGGTGTTTTGTGTGTTACACCCGTGGTTCTGACCTTGGTACTTGATAAACGAGTGTAGCATCTTAAGAAGGCTGAGGGCCAGGCATGGTAGTTCATGCCTGTAGTCCATTGCAGAGGCCAAGAGGTTAAAACTGATTTCTTGATGTGCCAAAGTCATTTCCTGGGCTTCGCACAGCCCCTGATTTATGGGATCTTATACGACTGCACCGCTCACTGCAGGAAACATTAACCACAAGCCATTACCTGAAAGATAGCTAAATCTGCAAGTGTAAAACACACAGTGGATTTTGAAAAATGTAAAATACCTGGAAAGGGTGTTTGTTGATTACATGCTAAATGGTAAGATTCCAGGTATATTATAGTATTAAAATTGGGCTTTGAGTTCGGGGCCTTGCCATGCCTCCAGCCCTTTTTGCTTTTAGTTATTTTTCAGATAGCGTCTCACTATTTGCTTGGGGCAGCCTTCAGACCACGATCCTCCTACCTATGCCTCCCATGGAGCTGGGATCATGGTGTGTGCCACCACTCCTGGCATTTTTTGTTGAGATGGGGTCTCACTTTTTGCCCAGGCTGCCCTTGATCCTCTATCCTCCTGATCTCTGCCTCCTGAGAAGCTGGGATTACAGGCGTGAGCCACTGCGCCTGGTGTCTTTACTTTTTCTCATATCACTATAAGAAAATTAGAACTCCATCTGGGGCTCCCATTGTCCTCCCCCTGGGGGTTGATTCTGTTCCGTGTGCTAACTAAACGCGGCGTACGTTGTGTAGACTTCTGTGGGTCCAACCTGTCTTATTTTCTACATTAGCAAAACTCGGACAGCCGACAGTTGAGAGTTTTGAACAAGTGGGGACGAAGCTGAACGTGACCGTGCAAGACTCGAGAACACTGGTCAGGAGGAATGGGACATTCCTCACCATCCGGGACGTTTTTGGCGACGACTTAGGTTACACACTTTATTACTGGAAGGCCTCAAGTACGGGAAAGGTGAGACTTTCTCCGTGGGTTTTTACGCCATGCTCTAAATGATCGGTGCGTGAAGTTTGCAGCCCACTTCTGCCCCGGTTCAAATGTAGCAGAACAGGGATGGGTGGGGGGTGCGGGGCAGTGGCAGGGGACAGGCCCTGGTGCTGCCTGTGACCCAGCTGCCTTGTGACTGTGGGCTGGGCCTGGGGACGCCCAGGTTCCTCACTGAGTGGGGGAGAGAGAGAGAGAGAGAGAGAGAGAGAGAGAGAGAGAGAGAGAGATGCAGGGGATTTTTGCCCTGTGCCCTGCAGGCTAGGCAAGAGCTCTACCACTGGGCTTTACTCCCAGCCCCCAAATTTAATTTCTATTCAATCATTAGAGCTTCCCGTCTTTCTTTCCCTGCAAATTTGGTTTTGGTTTTTGGTGGGGCTGAGATTTGAACTCAGGGCTTTGCACTCACAAAGCAGGTGCTCTACTGCTCGAGCCCCAGATATCTCTTAAGGGATCATTTGGCACTCATGGGCCCAAGGTCGATCTGGTCCGTCTTGGCAAAGGTGTCCTTATCGGTCACTGGGGTGGCCGTCACTTGTAATCTGCATACGTCAGGCACGGTCACACGGCTTCACTTTGAACCAAGGTCGGCCATCCTCACGGTGACTTAGTAAGGGCAGGGAGTTCACTGTGAGCCTGGTGAATTAAGAACTCTCTCTTTTCACAGAAAACCGCCAAGACAGACACTAACAAGTTTTTGATTGATGTGGATGAAGGGAAAAACTACTGCTTCACTGTTCAAGCCGTGATTCTGTCCCGAAGAAGCAACCAGAAGAGTCCGGAAAGCGTCTTTGAGTGCACAAGCCAACAGAAGAGCGCACTGAGAGGTGAGTGGCCCTGTCGGTCACTGGCTTGGGGACCGGGGTGCCACACAAAGCCAGGTGTTCCTCTTAAGATTCAGGGAGAAAGTGCCTGGTATGGTATTGTAGGGTTTGGGACACTTTGAAGTGATCCCACGTCATTCCTGTGTACCAGGTAAGCGTTGCCCTGGGCACCTGTCCATGCTAGCATCTCCGGGGGACTCTGGGGACACAGATGATGTTTGGGACTTAGCATGCAGTCACAGGTTTCTGCACACCACAATGGCTGTGGCCACAGACAAGGACACACACTCGGAGTCCAGACATGGCTCTGGTGTTGGGACGTGCACTGACGCTCAGTGCCTGTGCATGTCCCTCGGGCGTCACGGGGCAGGTGCTCAGTACCCACGGTGAACAAGAGCCAGAGGCCAGCTCCTCTGAGACAAGGTCTTGAAACGTAGACACACTTTCACGTTCTCCCTCCTGCTGTTGCCATTGACAGGAGGTGGCTCTCCATCCCTGGGGTCCACACTGCCTGGTCACCTCCCCACACCCTTCAGATTCCCTGTCCCAATGCCATGCCTTAGTGTCCAGCGGGGCCTCTGCTCCCCCTGCCTCTTCCCTTATGCTCAAACGTGTCCTCTGAGAGGCGTTCCCAAAGCCACCTGCTCCAGGACGCCACTTCACTGCTTCCCGTGTCCTGGACTCCCTCTTCGCCCTCGCCATCCTCTTCTTCCATAGTCACTGCCAGCAAACTCAGCGACATTGTCAACCTCTTGCTCTTATTTCCAGCTACATGTGTCTTTTCTAGGCAGTGGCCACTGTTAGGTAGCCCCTTTACAGTGGCACCACTGTCAATCCATCTAAGACACTGGGGTTTGACAAACTCTTTCCTCGTGAGAGTGGTGGGAGAGAGGAAGGAAGAAATTTCCCATTGCCCAGGAGCAGGATGTGTGACTGAGGTCAGGCCCTCAGTTCTGCCCACTGCTGGGGGCCTCGAGCCTGCGAGCTCATGTGGCACCTTTTCTTTTGCAGAAACGGTCATCGTGGGAGCGGCAGTGTTGGTGGTCGTCATCTTCATCGTCATCCTGACCCTCTTTCTGTACAAGTGCCGGAAGGCCAGAGTGGGGCAGGGTGGAAAGGACTGCTCCCCGCTGAACGTGGCATAGGGAGCAGGGTCCTTCTGCTGACCACGCTGCATGCTGCACTGAAGCCCGGAATGTTTTGAGAGGACGAAATGCACGAAACACGAGGACTCTGGAGCCGGGGCGAGGCCTGGAGTTCAAATCCTCCTGCAGTGTACGAGCTGCCATTGCACTTAGCGTTCTGGTTCTGACACGAGCATCAGTCACTTTGAATGTAACGGAGGGTACAACCCACTCCAAGTCGTTTCCAGTGGGATGGAACACCATAGCACCTTTTGCGCGCCATGGTTCAGATTGTAGCGTCTGGGCTCAGGAAGAAATGAGGTCATCCACGCAAGGCCGAGTGACCAGATGCCTTCGCGTGTCCTGGGTGGACTAGAAGACCCTTTGGGAAGCTGACCTCCCAAAGGGAAGGCTGCAGGAACGGACGTTTCTAACATGCTGCTGTCCTTCCTAACGTGGTGATTACTTTCTTGTTCTTGTTTTTCTAGGGGTACTTTTGGAAGGTCATTGGCAGACTTTTATATTATTGTGTCAAATGCTGGAGATTTCTCTTTTCGGCACTTTTTTGATAGGCTTGACAGTTTAGCACTTCAACTGACAGAAGAGGTGTGGATTAAATATTTTGACACCTGAATATATTTTTATAAGATGTCTATATAAAGAAACTACAGAGTTAATGACTTAAGGTACTTAAAAGTTTCTATGGTTGACACTGTGTATATTTATATAATTTTTAAAGGTTTTGTATATGGGGATTTTCTATTTATAGAGGTTCTATTTGTATATATTGAGATAATTTATTTAATATACTTTTATATAAATAAAGGTGACTGGGAACAGACACTGGTATTGTACTTATCTTTTATTCACTATTTATAGCTGCTGTTTGCATTGTCAGCTGCAGTAATATACGATCCTAAAGCTGTCACCAGCTGGCAACAGTGTCCCTTAGCTTTTCACAGGCACTACACAGGTGACTCGAACGACTCACCATGTCTTCTCATCACAAGACCAGGATGACGCAGAAGTCTCGATCGGGGGCAGAGGGAAACAAAAATCTTGTAGAAATAGCTAATCACAGCTTCATGGGTTAAATCAGCCATCCCTTAAAACTCCTGCTCCACACTGGCCCCGTCACTGTGTTCCCCACGCCGCCAGCCCTGCCCACGTGGAGGTACCCCATGTCTCGTGGCCATGGGAGGAACATAACCCCACAGGGAAGGCTAAAGGGGGAAAATGTCTTTGCACTCCTGCATTGAAAGAAAGCCAGATGAGAGGATGAAAAGTGGAGGGAGGTCTCTAGATGGAGAAGTCACTGGACAGGGCAGGGTCTCGCTCCATAGGGGCACTGTCAGGCCAGTTGTTGACTTGCTCACTCTAGGACAGTGAATCCACTCATGTGCAGAATCCTGTTCTCACCATGTGGAAAGGGCACCCCAACGAGATGGAGGAGAGGTCCTTGGTTCCTTGCTGGGCCAGGGCTGCTTTGGCTTCTGGCTGTGGAAGGCTGGGTCGTTGTCAGGGAGGACAGACATCCAGATGGCACACGAACCTGGACATGTGTCCACAGACACGGAGCCACAATCGGAAACAGCAGAGACCAGCTCAGTCTCCAGCTGGGGACATGTCGCCAACCCTCATTCTTCCTTTGCACCACGCGACTCTGAGCGTTGCTGATAGAACTCTAAACTCACATCCTGAGGAAGAAGGAGCAAAACAAAACTTTGATGCCTCCATAAAAACAGTAGCCTGGAAGATTAAGGGCACTGCTTGTTTCTGTGTTCCATCAGTAATAATCTGTGTGGCAGTGGAGCAGCTGTGTCCCCTCGTCCTCCCGCAGCATCTGTTGCACCTGCTCAGGTGGATGGATCCTTATACAGGACAGGCCAGCGTGGGCTCGGTCCTCAGAGCAGGTGTGAGGGCCAGCAGCTTCGGGTCCTGCTCACATGGCTGCAGGCCTTGGGATGGGTACCCAGTAGGCATCTCCCTGCCAGGAACAATGAATGACAGCACTATGTAACCCCCTGGGTCCCCGGGCTTCATAACCTCAGGAGCCTGAAGTGTCCCACTGAAGGTTTTGGCCCCTGAGAGCCGGTCTCTAGCTGTGCACAGAGGAGTTCATCACAGACCTGAGCTGCACACTGCAGCTGTGAACACCACCACCCGCAGCCACACTCCTCTTAGGGCTGACACCAAACAGCTGCTCCTAAAACCAACACTGCCATCAACCCGCTGTGCAGCAGAGACCAGGCTGGGATCCAGAAAACACTGCCCTCCAGCGGGCCAAACTACACTTCACAACTCAGTTGTGATGTCCCCAGAGAGCCAGCTAGAAAACTGGACTTTCATGCTTTGTAGATAACTTTCCATCTGAAATTATTGACTGAATTTGGCTTCCATTTGAGAAACTGATAACTCAAGAAATCCACGTTGCAGTTTAGCTACAGCCTGTGCTCTAACCTGCTGGTTAATAAAGAACCATCTCTACCCATGGAAGGGCACGAGACTCGCCCGCCCTTCTTATCTGTTCTAGGACAGGTGCACTTAGCGTGTGTGACTTCCCCTGATGGTTGCCGAGAAGGCTCAGTGCTGTCATAACACAATGCAACGTTCACTCAGATGCTTTTCCTAGACGCCAGTTCTCCTTTCTCCTCCTTGGACACCGCCCTTTCCAACCGGACCCCTCAGCACCTGAGCCCATTCTAAATCAATCAGCCCTTGCTGCTCCATTAGGGGTGCAGGTGTTCTAGCTTTGCCCGGCATCCTCTTCCCAGCTGGAGAAATTGGTCTAGGGTTAGAAACATGACCAAGACTAAGAAGAGCGTGTCTTGGGGGCTTTTCTGGGAATGGTGGAAGGCTCTTTCTTGATGCATATGATTTAGAAACATGTGGCCCCATGAATTGGTGGCAATCATGTTGAGATTACCCCCGAGCCAGTCTGACATGGAGCTGATGTGCTGGGGAGCAGTGCAGTGATGGAAATAAATCTTTGGTAATACCACCAAACTGCCAGATCAAGCCTTACCTGGAGCCCCTACCACGGGCTTCTCACTGAACATAATTTGACTAATTGTTCAAGGAAGCTTGAGTCAGGCTTTCTGTTACTTGTAGTCAAAAGCATCCTACCTGATGCTGTATAAACACTGACCTGGAGGACAGCACGAAGGAAGGTGCATGTAATGTACACTTAAATGTAAACTAAATTCTATTTTCATGCTTCTCAACACTTAGTGACTTTTCCCCTGAAACTGTCCCCTTTCCAGCACTGTATGCTGCTCCCATATTTGGTTATTTTTATCAGAATGTAAACATATTTAATTATTTTCTGCCTTAAAAAACAATCTTTTTTTTTTTTTTTTGGCTCTACAGAAGCCCTAACAGATCTGGGTTTCTCTCTTCCCTTCCTCCTCCTTTTTGGACCCCATCCTCTGCTTTCTGACTTCTTAATGTTGGGTTCTTGTAGTGCTCAAGCCAGTTCTCCATCAATAGTCACTCTCTGAGCAATATATCTCTGACCCTATTATCCAGCACCGACGCTCTGTGCCCAGGTTCACACACCGACCTCCCAAAAGCATGCATAGCCCCATGTCCTTCCCCAAACCCAAACTACACCGGATCCAACTTACCTACACAGCTCAGCGTCTCTGCCTGACTCTAACGTGCATCTCAAGCTCAGTGTGTCCACAGAAAACCCTGAACCTTCCCCACTTCACGAAATGACAGTGCCATCGGCTCAGTCCAACACCCTGTGTCAGGGTTGACTTCTTCTCCTCCCCCACGCAGTGTCAACCCATCAGCGAAGACTGTCACCACCATCTCTGAAATGTAGCCCAGTTCTGACACTCACTCACTTGCTCACCTCACCTCTGCTCTGCTTCAAGCCTCTTGTCTCCTACCAGATGGTGGCAGTGGCCTCCTAGCTGTCCTCTCTGTGCCCATCTTCCTCCCAGCCATCAGTGACCCTTTTAAATTCTACGTTCTGTTTTCACTGCTCTCCATTTGTGCACAGGGCTGGGGTGGGCTGTAATGCTAACCCATTTTCCCCAGAATCCTCTTCTTGGTCTGGCTGTAGATTAGACTTAAGCAAAAGATGCTTGCGTGAGATCTGGACAGAAGGGTGATGCAATGGCAGGTGACAGAGAATGCAGAGACGCAGCAGATTCCAGTCTGCCCTCACCCGCCTACACCGTGACTCGCTTTCCCTGACTTCTAACCCTGCTGTGGGCAGGGGCGAGGCCACCATCTTCCCGAGGCAGTGTCATCTGCTCCCTTCACCAGCTCCAGGAGACCAAGGAGCGAATGAGCCCTGTCCCCTGCGGGACAGGGGACATCACAGGGGACAATGACTCAAGAACAGGCGGTGTAGCCCTGTGGACCCTGCGAGGCCTTCCTGGTCCATTTTGGGGGGCCCTGATCTGGAGCATGAGGCAGAAAGGCTGCTCAGCGCAGGCCTGTCCGGGCCCCAGGAGCCTCCTGCTAGCCGAGGCCTGGCCTGCCAGCTCTGCCCTGTGGAGCCACTTGCTCCCTGCCCCAGAGCCACATCTGCGTGCCGCCCACTCGCAGGACCCCATAACAGCACAAAATTGGGGTGCACAGTCATAGTATGCTGTTGCCTTTGATTTAACTTCAGTTTTTAACTGAGGCTCCCTTTCCCCTCCATGGCAGGGCAGACACATCGCAAGCAGTTTGCTGATTCTGCCCAGACATCCCCCTTTTGCCTGGAGTCATGTCAAAGCCCACCGCCCACCGCAGCTGTTCCTGGCCTCTCCTCCCTCACCTTCCCCTCCAACATGGCCCTCAGCTTAGAGGGTCTTCTCTAGGCTGAGGGCGGTGGGCTGGGGCTTATTCTTACTTGCTGTCATGATCTGTTTCAAATCCCTGTGTGCGTGCCAGTGCTGCTGGTTCAGGCCGTCCTGAGCCAGAGGAACCCCCCGTTCAGCTTGCACACCCCTCCCGAGATTGGGGCACAGGCTGAGCTGGCCGAGTAGGGAGAAGGGGTAGGGGGAGAAAACCAGACAGGACAAAAGTGTCAACTGACATTTCAAAAGACGTCATTCCACCCTGCAACTAAAGAAGGGACTTAAAAATCGTTCACATCAAAGTGTCAGTGGCTCCATATTTTACCAAGAGCCACACTTTCCAAAATGACTTAGAGAGTTGATGGGGTTCACTGCTCCA